TTTCTATTTACATATCGAGATTATATTGAATTATGGTCAATAGGAAAAGAAGGTGGTGTAAATGAAAATGGCGAAGATATACTTGAACGTGCACCGAAAAATCTTGTTCAAATTAAAACAAAACATCAAGCTAGAATTGATACTGTTGGTATGATAATTAAGAAAATAAAAGACGAAGAACAAATTATTATCGCTATGGGAGATACTATCGGTTTACATGTTTATGTTATTCAAGGTAAGAGAATTTTATTAAAGAAAAAAATTAGTGAGTGTAAATTTTAAGTCGATATTATGCGGCTCTGCGCCCTTATAGCAATAGAGGAGAGAGTAGTAATACCAATAGCTATCGAACTACTTTCATAATAACCGTCTGAATTCTTGCTAAGATTTCTTTAGCAACGGAAAAAGACCGTGAACGACATTAGCAACAAGACTTAGACCTTCCTCAAAATTTGAATAGCTTGCATACGTTTGTGAATGTTTTAAATAAGTAGATGTGATGGATATGTACCACAGGGTTATTTGCGGATGAAATCTAGAGATGCAAAGGTGACGGTGAACACATGATAAATCTTGAATTCATTTCGAGTTTTTCGATTGTTGGACGTCTAGTTGATGAAAATAGCTGAATTTTATAAAATGTGAGTAAACCGTGCGAACTGGGCCTTTCTTCAACGGAAAAATTGTGCTGGAGCATTTTGACAAACTTGTATTAGATTTAGACTCATGAACACGGATATCTTTAGTTTATTTTTATAAATTCAGCTATCTTCTTGAAAGTCTTAGAGGAGTGCGTGTCTCGGTTCATGAAAACGTGGAGCCACAGTTCTCTAAATGGTTTTCTTCACCAAAAAAGTCGAACTTATTTCTAGAACACCAAAATTTTTACTAAGCGTTCACCATTAGGTAATACGTATATTTTTGGATCGGGCCCAGTCGTGCTTTGATACTCTCAACGAAATATTCTAATCGAAATTACATGGTCGCTCCGAAGATACAAGATACTTTTCATGGTGTTTTGTATTTGGTAACTACTGTACCCTAGTTTTACATTTCTAGTTAAGTCAATGAAGCGAGTAGCAGCAAAGCGAAAAATTTCTCTAACTGTTGACAAACTTTTTATTATTATAGGTCTTGATCCTCAATCTCAATTGAATGTAACACCAATAAAAACATATTCTAATGAACAAAATGTTGAACAATCATTTTCTTCAATAATAAATATAATTCAATTACGTTTTAATTCATCATCATTATTTGCACTAACATCTCGTAGTCAATTATATTGTTTTTCACTATCACCATATAAGCTTAATCGAATTATATCATGTTCACCGTCTACACTTCTTTTTGAAGTTTCATCTAAATATATAGCTACAGCAGATCGTTATGGACATGTAACAATATATTTAAATTCAACATATAATATTCTAACACAATTACCACAACAAACATATCAATGTACAGCAATGTCATATTGTAATGATCGTCTTGCATGTGCATATGCAAATCGTTCATTAATTGAATATGATATTCAACAAAATGAATATTCCGATTGGACACGAAAATATTTAGTACGTATGCCATTACAATGGTTTTCAGAACGAAGTCCAATTATAAATTTATTCTATGATACAAAAGATAAATTGTTTGTTATTGATTCAACATATTTAAGTATAATTGAACGTGGTAAAAAAATGCCTGGAACATATACAAAAATTTTTAATAATACAAATCAAATTAGTTCACCAATACATGTTTGTAAGCAATTTAAATATCTTTTACATGTTACACTTTTATCATCAACATCATTATTCATTGTCGAATTGTTACCATCTGTTGCTGAACAGTGTTTACCACCAGCATTAAAACGAAAACGTTTTGGCACTTGATTAATAAAGCAAAAATATCTTTTCAGGGTTTTTTTTTGTTTTGTTATGTTTGTTTGTTTTTTCTAAAATACATTGGGGTATCAGTTTTGTTTTTCTCATTGTTTTTTAGATTTAAAAATAAAATTATGGGTGGTGTTACACAAAAAATGCCTGATACAGTCAAGCATGTAATTCATGCAGAACCATCAGGTATTCAGGTTGTTGGACTACTTCTCATTTGCAAACATAAAGAAAATAAATTTTAAGTAAATTAAAATTTTTACAATTTCGTTTAATTTAAATTTGATAATTTTATTAATTTTTCGTAAAACGATAAAACTTTATGTTTAACTTTTAAAAATTTGGTTGCTGCGAACGAATATTGAAAGTAAATTGTTTTAAAAGATTTTAATAAAAAGTTATTTTTTTTACCAAGCATGCTGCAATTTGTAGAGGACGTTAGTTTTTTGATAATAGAAACTTTTTAAGCTTCAGATAGTTACTGCAATTTGTAGAGGACGCAAGTTTTTCATAAGAGAAATTTTTTAAATTTAGTATCATTGCTGTAATTTGTGGATTACGTTAAGTTTTGATTGAATTAATATTTTCGTTTGGTTCTAGCTGCGAAGAATTTCAATAGAAGTCAAAAATAGAATGTACTAGCTGGTTTGTTTTTTTTTTCTTATTATTAAACTAACACTGATAATGTACGAGCAAGGATCGTCGATTTGGGCTGAACTAAGAACAGTTTTAGTTAAAGACCAAGCGAGTTTTTTAAGGAGATTGTATCATAATTTTTTGTGATAATCGATATTTGTTCCGAATGTGGTGTGAGTGGATCGAGCTGTGATCGTCAAGAGAAGACGCTCATCAACATCTATATTTCTAAGTCGTCTTTTTTAGAACATCTTTTTTGTATTTTTTATTTTTATGTATAAATGCTTTTGCACTCCAATCAGTTGTCACCATTCAATGTTTGATTTAATTTTATAATCATAATTATATGGTCGGTTCAGAATCAAAAACAACTGATGGCATCCATAGTAGTAACAATTATGTCTGGCGAACTCTATAAATTGCAGTCAATTAAGAATAAAAAAAAGTACTACTATATTTTAGCGCACTCTACAAATTACAGTTCATTAAATTGAAATAGTGAAACTCAATATTTAGTGAACTCTATAAATTTCAGCAAGTTTTAAAATATAGCTGACAGTTTAAGTTGCATTAAAATTGTTGTGAGTAATTTTTTTGAAATTTGAAAACCGAAAATTTGAGACCTAAGAATATTTTCCATTTGAATAAATTAAATTTAAAAAATAACTGAAATTGAATTTAACAGATTTTGAATTTCGATTTTATGTTCGCAAATGAGAAGACACGGGCTGTGTTGCTGTACTTTCTGATCCGAATAGTGGACAAGTTTATGGTCATGTTTATTTTGCACAAGCAAATGATGGTACAGTAATTGTTAGTGGTGAAATTAAAAATATACCTAATGCACAAAAACGTGGTTTTCATATACATGAATTTGGTGATACTACAAATGGATGCACTTCAGCTGGTAATGAATGAAATTTAAAATCTCATTCATAGAGTGAACGAAACTTGATTGATTATTCTATTGGTATAGTTGTTATATATTAATGTATAATGTATGGAGAGGTTTAATCAATTGAAAAGATGAGAAAATTCGAATTAAAGAACCCTGCTTGATTTGACTATCATGCTTAAAGTGAAAAGCCTCCTATATTATTTTGTAGAGCAGTTTGTGACGTGTCCATCAGTATCTAGGAAATGGCATTTTCATCAAGCTTTTACCTTATAAGGCACTATATACGATATTATACAAAATTATGGCAGTTCTGGAGATTGCAATGCCAGCATATTGACAAAGTAAATTATGTATGCCTTCTCCTGAAAGTAATTTCGATGAAGGCTTGCTTGCTGTTGAAACTTGTATATTTAATAATTCATCTGAGTGCTTTCTTCGTATCCAACAAAGACTGCTTTTGTCATCTTTCCTGAAATTTCGATATTGGAACACTTCAATATACATGATGCTGTGACTGAGAACATGTTGGCACAAGCGTGCGAATTTACCGAAAACTGGCTGTGGGTGTTCTTTTAACCATCAATCGCACTCACTTCCATAGGCACACTCACGCCATTTTTCCAACCGTGATGTAGCGATTTGACTGCTGGCTTTCAATATGTTTTGAGCCACATCATCATGCACATTGAAGCGTTCTAAAATTGAAATTTCGCAGACGATGACGAAAATGATCTGTGTTGGGTACGAAGGAAACAATGAGATAAATAATCAAACCTCTACAGAAATTAATTTTAGGAATAAGTTTGCATAAGTTGATATGCGAATATGCTAATCTCCACAAGTGCCATAATTTTGTATAGGATCCATCAGCCAATATACATGGTCTCATAACATCAAACCTTGGTGATAATGCGATTTCCTGTACACTAATGGACGTACCATGATCTGATCGGCAAATCCGGAACGACCTTTTGCATTACGAAGAACATGACCTTGACAAAAAGAAGTTCAATTTTTCAGACGTTTTAACAGTAAATTCAATCTTAGCAAAAATTTCATATTAATATTAGACGTTTCGATTCTTCTTAACAGTTATTTTATTAATTTTTATAAAACTTCAATTTAGGTGCTCATTATAATCCGGATAATAATGAACATGCTGGTCCACAAGATAAACTTCGTCATGTTGGCGATCTTGGTATTTAACTTATTTTTTGTATTATTTAATATTAATTTTTAAATTCTAGGAAATATTACCGGTGGTTCTGATAACGTTGCTAAATTTAATTTTAAAGATTCAGTTATTAAATTAACAGGTCCAACATCGATTGTCGGACGTTCAATTGTTGTTCATGAAAAAGAAGATGATTTAGGTCGTGGTGGTACACCAGAATCAAAGAAAACCGGCAATGCTGGTGGTCGTATGGCTTGTGGTGTAATAGGCTTCAAAAAGATCTAATGAACCTTTTTTTTTATTTCTTTTTTTTCTAAAAAACATATGTATTCCCGCTAGTACACTGTTTTGTAATTTCAGTTTTAATCTCGCCACAACCGTTTATTTGTAGATCTGAATAATGCCACTTCGTTTTGCTGTCGTTTGTTCATCGAATCAAAATCGTAGTATGGAAGCACATAACTTTATGAGGTAATTAAATTCATGAGGAATATTTCTGTATGTTTAATCGTACAAAGATTCTTTTGATTGATAATTTAAAATCTGATATTTATACATTCTATAAATCTTGAAATTTTATTGTCAGAATAATGCAAAGGAGGAACATCAGCTTGAAGTGAAAATATAGTTTCAATTTGTCAACTTTGATTTACTTTCAAATGTTTTAATAATATATTAATTGAGATGATGAATAACGAATTTGATGAAAAACTAGATGCGAATATGACGGTTGTTGTGTACGGCTATTCTTTAGAAATGTTACAGTTCTTGTTTCTGAACGTTGCGTTCTCAAGGAATGACAGTGCATCCTGAATTGAATTTTCTAGAATTATTTTAGATATATCGAGGTGTTCATACATAGTTTTTTTCTAGCTCAGTATTTGAGATCTACGCATTCTGAAAAATTTTCTAATTTATTATTAATAAAGTATGATTCAAAAATAATGGTAGAAATGTTGACTCCTATTCCTCTGTGGTAAATGTGTGTTGGAACAATTATTTTTATCAGTTGATAGAACATTTTTTTCTCTTCAAAATTTTATGTAATTTGAGTTTGTTACACATTCGTAAACAGAACGATAGGAGAAGAAAGAGAAACATGTATTTAACGAATCTGTGATTTTTATATTGATTCATTAAAATAAATCTTCCAAAACGACCGTAAATTATTTTATAAAACACGGCATTTCAAGATGAACAATTTATAACATATTGAATAAATATTTGAAATATGGGCATACCAAACTTTTATCAAGGAGTGCTCTTCCAATAGACTATTTAATTATATAGTTAAACTGGTAATATCTATTAGTAATTATCATGGTATCAGTTAGCATAAATTAGTGAAGAGTTTCAACGTTAACCAATCAACTATCACTTGTAACTTACGAAAAGTAACGTCGGTTATTAATGCGAAACGTCAAAATGTTTCAAAAATGATTAATAAAGCTCAAGAAAAAAAGACCAGAAAAGTCTGGAAAGTTACATCAAATGATTTGTTGTGATTGAGATTTTGTTTTGAGATGATGAAAAATATTTTACGTGATGTGGGAGCAATGATGTTGGAAATCAATATTATTACTCTATTGACCTAAAAAATTATGTAATAATCTTTGGCATACCTATGATTTTCTTACGATTATATTTCAGTTGGTTTGAAAGATTTATTTGATGAATCGATATAAAAGTTGCAGATTCCTTGAGTGTGTTTTTCTTTTTATTTTCGTGTCATTTTGTTGATATATATATATGTATAACACAATCAAATTATTTACAATTCGAAAGATGGAAACATTTTCTATCACCTAATATAAAAATAATTGTTTCAAAACGTATTCACTTAAGAGAAATAAGCGTCAATAATTTCTCATGTTATTCGAAGTTATATAAAAAGTGTGGATTTGTTTTGAGGGTGTGATAAAAATAAATTATATACAATTCGGAACAGAACAAAATACTCTATTGTCTGGTACAAAAAGTTTGCTTTCCGTACCTTAACATAGAAGAAAAACAGGAATCATCATTTGAACCATTAGTTTTGCATCAAACATCATTTAATCGTAGATCTGATTAGGAAACTTCTCCAGGTGTCAGGTCGCTTTTCGGTCGAAACAATGCTCCTTTGATTAGTAATAAAAATTTTTAGAATGATTTGATTCTCCGAGTCTTCGTTCCTGACATATCAAAATATTACTGAGTTTTTCAATAGAAATCTGTGGTTCTCTCAAGTCATATGAAAGTTCCGACTTCAAACTTTGCACGAATCAAGTTCTCATTAAGATTAGTTGGCTGGAGCAGGTTTTAGCTTTTCTAGTCTTTCTTTTCTAGAGATGGAGATAATATATGAACAAAATTTGCTTTTACACATGAGAAAATCTAGAATATTCAAGATAGGATATACTAGAAAAGTTACAATTTGCCCAATAAAATAATTCCAGTGAGAACTTGATTCGTACAAAGTTTGAAGTCGAAAATTTCATATGACTTGAGAGAATTATAGCTTTTTGTTGAAAAATCCAGTAAAATGCCGATATCTCAAGAACAAAGGCGGGGAAAAGGAAATCATTCTAGACTTTTCTATTAATAATGAAAAGAACATCGTCTTGGTCGAAAAGCGGTTTGACACCCTGGAATGTTCCCTCACGAGTAAAATAAAATAATTTTTTTTAAAAATAATATTATTTTAGTAAACGCGGTCTATTAGTTAAATCATATGGTTCAGGTCAACAAGTTAAATTGCCTGGAACATCACTTGATAAACCTAACGTATATACATTTGATACTCCATATGAATTTATGTACAAAGATTTATACAATAAGGATGCAAATTTGTAAGTATAATATTTTTCTTACAAATGAAATTTTATAATGCATTTAAGATATACACAAAATGGTGTTCTTCATATGCTTGATCGTAATCGTCGTATAAAAGAAAAACCTGAACGTTTTCAAGATAGTCGAGAACGTTTCGATGTTATATTTACTGTTGAAGAACGAATATTTGATCAAGTTATGGAGGGTAATGAAAAAAATAAGCAAAAAATCAAAAGAATTATGTTTTTTTGTTTTGTTTGTCATAGACCTAGAAAATCGTGATAAACGCACAAATGAAATAGTTCATGTTATTAATATTGATGTTATTGATAATCCAGAAGATGCTACACTTGGAGCATTTATGCTTTGTGAATTAGGACAAAAAGTAAAAAAAATAACAAAAACATCACATTAGTCTTTTTTTTTGTTTTATAGATGGAAGCAGCTCCTGATTTAGATAATACAATTGATGAAATACTTACAGAATTTGAACTAAAAACAAAACGAACAATATTACATGCTGTTTCATTCTATTAGTCATGTTTTTTTTTTCTGTGTTCGAAAATCTATGAAAAAACACAAAAAAAAATTAAATGATATTATTTTTTGTTGTTGTGTTTTTTTCTTTTTTCGTTTGTAGGAAAAATAATTTGTTAAGAAAATTTTCTTCTGTTTGTTTTATATATTTAATAAAGATATGGCCGAAGAAGTATCACAAAATACAACAACTAATATTATAAATCAAGATGATAGCAGAGGTAAGAATTGTTTCTTGGTTCTTTTTTTATTTTAATGATTAATTTATTTAGTTGTTACAGAACAGAATGTTGATCCGTCGACTTCAACAATGATAGATACATCAACTAAAGAACAACAAATGAATGTTGTCGATGATGTAACACTTCAAGCAGTACTCAGTTCGATGACAGAACCACAAGTGCATGCCTTTCTTGAAGAACTTAATAAAACAGGAAAAGCATGTAAGTGTAGACAACGGGATTTTTCAATTAAATATTAGATGAGTTAACCTTTTTGAATATTTTCAGATTTTGAAAACTATTATCTATTTCAAAGTAGAATTCGAGTAGTTTTTCTTTCTAAATAACTATTGATAGGAACGACGGAGAGAGTTTAGGTTTTCACTATTCAAGAAAGAATTAGACCGAATTCTGATTCGTCACCAATTGACTGATCAGGTGAGTTCTTTAGCCAAGATTCTGAAAACGAGACTTTGAAGTCAAAATTCGCAGGTCACAGAAAAACCCTTCTAACTCTTGAATGGAAGCGGCTATGAACTTGAGTTTTACACAGATCGAAAACGAAGAGTTTTCTCTACCGATTGGCCATATTACACATTACAGTCTAATAGAAAATGACTTTAGAATATCGTTTTCAATATCTTGGCTAAGAACACGCCTCATTGACCAATTACTAATTCATCACATGTTGATGTACTTCGATGACCCCGGATCTTCTCTCTTGAATTGTGAAAACTTCAGCTTCCTTCGTCATTCCTATCACGATCATTCAAAAAAGAATCACGACATTCTTTTTTTGAAATGACATAATAACCTATATCATTCCATTCAATGAAGAATAAGAAAAGAGAAATCTTAATGGAAATAAAAAGAAAATGTATTATGTGAATTCGGTTATTCTGATTTATAAATGAATTTATCTAAGAAATAAACATTATTAATGCACTAGTGAGTTTCAGAACTTTTAAATGTCACTCAAAAGAAGCGTCCTGAATTGTATTTCCTAAGTAGTTCTGGCCAAAATTATAGAGCTGTCTGTTTGAGTGATATTGTTTGCTCGCTCTCGATCATTCTAGACTGTTGAGAAAAAACGTCCATGTGACCTATATACATTCGAGTATACTTTTTTCGAGTGTAGAATCAGCTTTCCTCGATGCTATAGCCTAGCGAAACAAAACAAATATCTTATAAAATTCGTTGATTTTTTGCCTGACTAAGAATATAGAACTACGAGCATATTTTCGTTATTAGTGGGTCATAAGGATGTTACTTTTGCTTGAAAGTCATAGAGGCAGATAGAAAAGTTTAAAAAAAAGACATTTGAATTAAAAATGAAACATTATTAATCAAATCGAAATACGTTGAAAACATTACTTAAGTTCAATATTTTAGTTGCAAAGTATGAACTTTCAACTAAAACTAACATCCCTGTGACCCACAAATAACGAAAATATATTCGTGATTCCAGATTTCTGATCAGACAAAAATCGAGGAATTTTAAATAAACATTTATTTCCTCCAATTTCATAGTAGCGTTGGAGAAACCTAATTCCATATTTGAATAAAGCAGGCCGAAAGCGAACAAATACTATCAATCAAACAGGTAGTCCTATAATTTTAGTCAGAGCTGTATAAAACATATTCTTGTAAGTTCAAGAATGATCTTTCTTTGTTTGTTCGTCTTCTAGATTTACCCGGCATTGGTCAAACAATTGAATTATTAACCGTACCTGCTCCTCCAGAAACATCAACAGCACCATCTACCATTACTGTTCAACCATCATCTCAAGTTCTTCAATCTCAAACATCAGCTGAAACTCTTCTGCAAGAATTAACATCTCTTATTCAGCAACCACCTGCTGATATTATACCGATTGGTATTGAACAAAAACTTATTCAACAATCCATTGAAACCAAATCAAGTACTCATATTGGTACATTAGGATCACGTCAAACTCGTACAGCTAATATATATGGTGGTACACCTGTTGCTGGTGGTCGACCAGGTACAGCTGTTAAATCAACAATAACATCAAGTGGAGGAGCAACAATTCGTAAACCTTTACAACAACAAACAATTAGTGATGATCGAATGTTTTTTGGACGACCAACAACTGTTGGACAAGGACAATATCATAATCGCACTGGATTAATGTCTAATAAACAACAACAACAACAACCGATAGCGTCATCATTAGGACAACAACAACGACGTTTAACAACATCAAGTAATATTGAGTATCATCAACAATCTTCTCAGCGACGACCACTTTCTTGGTTTCAGTAAATATGTTCAAAACAAAGAAAAACTATTTCTTCTAATTTTTGTTTTGTCCTCTCATAGGAACCATTCTCGACATCATTCATCCGGTGATGATGCTGATTCAGATCGTGATTCATCTCCTCCATCTTATTCTATGAGTGGTAATGATAATTTAGGTCCAACACGTCGTTCAACACGTGTACCTAAACCAAAACAAGATGCTGATTTTGTTACATTTCCATTATTGGATCGTGATGAACATGGAAATCCTATTCCACCAACACCATCATCAATGCCATTACATAAAACAGAAGATGATGAAGATGATATACCTTATCGTTTAATGGATTATCCACGTCCACCACAACAATCTCAAATTTCAACCGGATCTTTATCACAATTAACAACAGTTGGACCCGGTAGAAAGCCACGTACACTAGCTGAAATGCGTGCAACAACAATTACAAATAAAAAACAACCACGCTGGCCCGATGATGAATTATATCATGTAAAATCCTTTATACCACTTATTATGCCACAACAAATAACAAATCCGTCAACAATGAGAAATAAAATGACAATGTGTAAACCTTTAGTATCTGAACGAGAAGTTGAAGCTAAACCAACAAGATTTACTACAGCTACACAAACAGGTTGCGTTTCTTTTGATTAGAATTATAAATTTTGATTTTGACTTCGATTTTTTTCTATATATAGAAATGGAACATATGATTCCAGATGTACCTTTAGTTGCATTACCTGTACCAATTTATCTTCCATCGCCATCACCAAGCTATCGACTATTTGAACCAAAAGCAGTACCAATTCCCGTACCTGTTTTTGTACCGATTATGATACCTGTACCAAAAAAAGCTTATAAAAATATTCGAGAATATCTTCAAGTAAGATAAATTTGATATAAAATGATGGAGAAAAATTTACCAACAATGTATTTTTCATTTTTTTTCTAAAAGGTTAAGCATTGAGCTCAAATCCAGATAATTATTTTAACAGCCAATGAAGTTTTCTATCTCATGCATTCTATGGCAAGATTTCATAGATGAACTATGATGATATGGTTTCTAAAAAAACCAAACACGATAGTTTTCAGACCCTAGAAGACCAGTTTTTAACAACACCGTTTCACAAAGAATACAAAATTTTGAACAAAATGAGAGGTTGCCACGTTTTCTAGGACCTTCTCTTAAAAAGTTATAAGTGTTACAAAAAATCGAGGAAAAAAGGGCAGAGACTTTAATCTCGAAGTCCTAGAAGTCTTTTGAAGTCTCTGTTCTTCAAATCTGTTGTATTTGCCTCGCAAAAACTTAAAAAAATGAAATTTATTTTTAAAAAATCTCTAAAAAAACAGTTTATTACAGCATTTATGATACTTTTAACTGTTCACGGAAGGACCGTAAAAAAGACGGAAGTTCATCAATTTATTCAGAATTTTGTGCTCTTTAAAATAACATTGTTAATAAATAACTACGACAAAGTCTACCGGATCCTGAAAACTACTAGATCAGATTCTTTTAGAAACCTCAGCATCATCGTTGATACATTAGATAGAAAATTCCATTGGTTATTAAAGTCACTATTTGCATTTGAGTTAGGTGCTTCACATTATAGAAAAATGTCTAAAATACATTGTTGTTGTTTAAGTTTTTCTCACCATCTTTTATTTTAGCAGGTAAATTGTAAAAGAAAAAAAAATTTCATCTTCTCTTACAAAAGCTTTAGTTGAATATAGAGATTAAAGAAATGAAATAATTTTCAATTGAAAATTATTTTAGACTCAACGTGATCTTTTACCAGATGATCCATTTGAAGCAGCACTGGTTATGTATGCTGAAAGTCTTGTACGAGCTGAAAATCAGCCACAACAAACAATAACAAATCATATTAATGATTCAATGATGATGATGGATTTAACTCGTGATGGTTTGTTTATTTAATATAGTCATTTTATTGTTGTATTTTTTTTCTGTGTATCAGATTCTTATTTAGCAACATCACAAATTATTGAAAATTTACCTGAACTTGATCTTGAAGCACATTATATTGATCCTATAACATCAAATGATCCTGAAGTTCAAAAAGTATCATCTAAAATAATTTCTTTTCAATATAAATCTTCTATTGTATTAGCTTCTTCGAATGTTACCCGATGCTGGTGATCGTCTTAAATGGACTTATGGTGTTGAAGCATTTCAACAATGGTGTACACAACGTAATCGATCAATTTTATATCCATCAACAGCAACTACACCTGAAGGTATTCTATTCAATTGAATATCGTAGTTTGTTATTTTTTTCTGAAATTGCAAATTATTGTAGATGAGGCGATAGCCAAACAATATCTAATTAAATCCGATTTACTTTCATATGCAAATGGAGATGAATTACAACATGTTATGGATGTATTCATACGTGAAGTTCGTCGTCCAACAGGTCATCAATATTTACCAGAAAGTATCTATTACCTTTGTTTAGGTATGTTCAAGACTTGAAAGTGA